CGTTTTAAGGAGCAGTTGTCCCCGTGATCCGACGGGAGTTATAGACTTTGGATGAGGACTGCAGAGAGGGAATGTCTCTCTCATCGCATCATATCAGGAGTGCATCTATCTATCAACCTGACTTCACCATGGTCTTGGCCTTGATCACTTGGGTAAAGTGATGCTTGACTTTCCCCGTGGAAGCAAGTCCCTAAGTTTAGCCAATCCTCAAAGGGTGTATGTGTGTGTGTGCGTGTGCGTGTGCGCACTTGTGTTTGTGTATTAAACTCTACCTTCTAGAGGGGAATAATTTACACACATAACTTGGAACTCTTCTATAAGGAATCTCTGCTGCTTAGCCCCCATTTATTTATCCACTCATTCAATCATATGTATGTGTTGATAGGAACTCCAAGTACGTTTATTTGGCACTTTGGTTCAAGTCCAGTGCTCCCTTATTTATTCCTTGCTGGTGGAAACGCCAGGTGGTGTATTTTGTTGCTCACCTTGTTCAGACTTTGCCCTTGGAGTGCTTGTTCAGCTCGGCTCCTGTGTGCCTTTGACAGGCCGCAATCCTTTTGGTTTGGAAGCCTCTGTCCTGTCTGCCACTGCAAAATGCTCCAGACCTATCATTTCTTATATAATAACTAATGTTTTCTCTGTTTCAGCTCTACACCAGCCATTTCTCCCAGGAGCCCCAATTCCTTTTATTGGGAGAATGTGCTTTAGAAACCATGATCCGAGTACAGGTGTCTAATTCGGCCAAAGGAGTGCCGAGGTGAATTGTTATCTGTGGGTCCTTTGGAGAGAGAAGTTGCGGGGTCGAGCAGGGTGATGGCAGTGTGATCTGTCAGCGTGGCGAGGCTATGGCTCTCGGCATGATGGCATTACCTTCGATTTCGTGATCCTTGAAAAGGGAGTTTACTGAGGGTGTAGCCTGCCTCCAATTTATGAGAGCAAGTCAGAAGTATGGCTACCAGGCTTTATTTATAGATGCAAGGGATTCATCCAAGCAAACAATGGTTTAAACTGTCTGCAATTGGTGGCTGACTACTGACAAATCCTCTCAGGAATATGCTTTCTCTCCCTAATCCAAACCTGTGGGAAACAAAGATTTCTCCCAAGTCGTCTCCCCCAAATATATTAGATTTAGGACACTGCTTGCAGCTAATGGTAAAAATTATTTCCCTTGAGGCCATCGCTGCCAGACTGCTGTCTCACCCCACCACAGGGGTGGGCCTGCTCCCTGCTGCTGGGGACAATGTTCTATTTCGCCCTGAGGCTTGTGAACATTAGCTTGGTTCTTGTAGGTGGGGTTTACACCCTACTGCTAATGGTTCTTATGGAGATCCAGAGAAAAGATCAAACCCCGGGACATCCAAAATTAAGCTGCCATCCTGAATCTAGGATCCGCCCATCTTGCCACATGTACACCACCAACCCCTCCTCTTCCTATTGCGTGGATACCTCTAGAACATCCCCTTTCCATTACTGTATTACCTATAGCACAACCCCTTCCTGTGACGTATGTCTTCACCTGTAATTAGGGGGCTTGCATGTCCCCAGAGAATATAAAAGCCTTGGTTAGCATTAAAT